AACTCCAGTTACTGAACATACAACACCAGTCATAACTGAGACTATCAGGACAGAAGCAACCCAGTTTGCAGGTACTCAAACTACTGAGCCAATATTTACTGATCTGACATCAGTTATTACAGAGGCAGACACAACACCAGTTACTGAACGTACAACACCTGTCATGACTGAGACTGTCAAGACAGACGCAACTGATGAATCTACCCAGTTTACAGGTACTCAAACTACTGAGCCAACATTTACTGATCTGACATCAGTTATTACAGAGTCAGACACAGCACCAGTTACTGAACGTACAACACCAGTCATAACTGAGACTATCAGGACAGAAGCAACCCAGTTTGCAGGTACTCAAACTACGGAGCCAACATTTACTGATCTGACATCAGTTATTACAGCGGCAGACACAACTCCAGTTACCGAACGTACATCACCTGTCATAACTGAGACTGTCAGGACATCCCCAACTGATGAATCTACCCAGTTTACAGGTACTCAAACTACTGAGCCAACATTTACTGGTCTGTCATCAGTTATGACAGAGACAGACACAACTCCAATTACCGAACGTACAACACCAGTCATAACTGCGACTGTCAGGACATCCCCAACAGATGAATCTACCCAGTTTACAGGTACTCAAACCACTGAGCCAACATTTACTGATCTGTCATCAGTTATTACAGAGGAAGATACAACTCCAGTTACTGAACGTACAACACCAGTCATAACTGAGGCTATCAAGACAGAAGCAACCCAGTTTGCAGGTACTCAAACTACTGAGTCAATATTTACTGATCTGACATCAGTTATTACAGAGGCAGACACAACACCAGTTACTGAACGTACAACACCTGTCATAACTGCGACTGTCAGGACATCCCCAACAGAAGAATCTACCCTGTTTACAGGTACTCAAACCACTGAGCCAACATTTACTGATCTGTCATCAGTTATTACAGAGGAAGATACAACTCCAGTTACTGAACGTACAACACCAGTCATAACTGAGACTATCAGGACAGGCGCAACCCAGTTTGCAGGTACTCAAACTACTGAGCCAACATTTACTGATCTGACATCAGTTATTACAGCGGCAGACACAACACCAGTTACCGAACGTACAAGACCTGTCATAACTGAGACTGTCAGGACATCCCCAACTAATGAATCTACCCAGTTTACAGGTACTCAAACTACTGATCCAATATTTACTGATCTGTCATCAGTTATCACAGAGGCAGACGCAACACCAGTTACTGAACGTACAACACCAGTCATAACTGAGACTGTCAGGACAGAAGCAACTGATGAATCTACCCAGTTTACAGGTACTCAAACTACAGAGCCAATATTTACTGATCTGTCATCAGTTATTACAGAGACAGACGCAACACCAGTTAGTGAACGTACAACAACAGTCATAACTGCGACTGTCAGGACAGAAGCAACTGATGAATCTACCCTGTTTACAGGTACTCAAACTACTGAGCCAACATTTACTGATCTGACATCAGTTATTACAGAGGAAGATACAACTCCAGTTACTGAACGTACAACACCTGCCATAACTGAGACTGTCAGGACAGAAACAACTGTTGAATCTACACAGTTTACAGAAATTCAAACTGCAGGACCCTCATTTTCCGATCTGTCATCAGTTATCACAGAGACAGATACAACACTATTCATAACTGAGACTGTCAAGACAGACGCAACTGATGAATCTACCCAGTTTACAGGTACTCAAACTACTAAGCCAACATTTACTGGACTGTCATCAGTTATTTCAGAGGAAGATACAACTCCAGTTACTGAACGTACAACACCAGTCAAAACTGAGACTATTAGAACAGACGCAACCCAGTTTGCAGGTACTCAAACCACTGAGCCAATATTTACTGATCTGACATCAATTATTACAGAGGAAGGTACAACTCCAGTTACTGAACGTACAACACCTGTCATAACTGAGACTGTCA